GACGAATCCTCCAAGAAGGCATCAGGAGATGCATTAGCAGTTCGAGGCCGTGGTCCAAACCGTCGTTCAGGTGATCGCTCAAGATCGAAGTCAAGAGGTGGTCATAGAAATATTGGTAGGAATCAATGTCGCTTTTGCAAAGAAGAAGGACATTGGAAGAACGACTGCCCAAAGTTGAAAGATAAAGCTGGGAAGAATAAAGGAAAAGCTGTACAAGCTTCAGAAGTGAATATGGTCAAGGCTAGTGACGACAATTCAGATACAGATTCTTCAGGCTATTCCTGCTCTGCACTACCGTCAGTTTGTTACGCTGACTCTACGGAGTGGATGATGGATTCTGATGCTACATACCATATTTTCCCTAGGAGGGATTGGTTCTCCAGCTTTGAGGAGTTGGAAAGAGGGGATGTCGTGCTCTTGAGTAAGGAAGTGAGATTCGTTCCTCAGTTGACGAAGAATATCATTTCGCTTGGAACTTTGGAGACAGCTGGCTATAAGGTGATCTTGGAGAATGCTACTCTGAAGGTCACAAAGGGGTCCATGGTGGTGATGCGAGGTGTCAGGGAAAATAACCTTTACTACTTGAAGGGCAAGACAGTAACAGGGGCTCTGGCAGCTTCGATTACCACAGAGGAAGATACTACCAGTTTATGGCACATGAGATTGGGACACACTGGTGATAAGTCTCTGCAGGTATTGGCGAAGCAGGGGCTATTGAAGGGGGCGAAGACCTGCAAGATGGAGCTGTGTGAACATTGCATACTTGGGAAGAAGACAAGAGTGAAATTCGGCACCGCTATTCACAATACCCAAGGTATATTGGACTATATTCACATAGATGTTTGGGGCCCTTCCAAGCACACATTACTTGGTGGGGCCAACTATTTTATCACTTTCATTGATGACTATTCCAGGAAAAATTGGGTATACCCGATGAAGCATAAACATCAGGTCCTGGATATTTTTGTGGAGTGGAAAAAGAAAGTGGAACTGCAGACAAGTAGAAAGGTGAAGACTCTACGTTCAGATAACGGTGAAGAGTATAAGAGTGATCCATTTCTGTAGTTTTGCCGGGATCACGGTATTAGGCGACATTTCACAGTACGTGAGACACCGCAACAGAACGGGGTGGCTGAAAGGTTGAACCGTACCTTGCTGGAGAAGGTGTGATGTATGATGACACAGAGTGGATTGTCAAGATCTTTTTGGGCCGAAGCATTGGTTTATGCTAGCCATCTCGTGAATAGGTTGCCGTGCACTGCGATACAGGGGAAGACTCCGTTGGAGCGTTGGTCTGGTTCGGTAGCTAGTGACTATGAGTCGCTTCGGATATTTGGGTGTCCAGCTTATTACCATGTCAGTGATGGTAAATTGAATCCGAGGGCGAGGAAAGCAGTCTTTGTGGGATTTAAAGATGGAGTTAAAGGCTTCAAGTTATGGGATCCACGAGACAAGAAGATAGTTATTAGCAGGGATGTCATATTTGACGAGGCGTACATGATGAAGCCTCAAGTTCCTCAGCAGGTGGAGGAAGACCAGACAGTTGGGATATCGCAGCAGGTGGAGGATGATGTGACTCCACCAACTCCAGATAGCATTGTATCCATTGAGGCTCCTACAGAGGTGACACTGGGAGGAGATGAGATGACAACCGGGCATTTAGAGGATACAGTGGATGTTGGGACTCAGGAACAAGGTCATGTTCAGGAGTCCATTGTAGCTAATAGACAAAGAAGAAACATTCGTCGGCCAACTAGATATAACGATGTCATGGTTGCATATGCTTTATCAGCAGAAGTCGTTGATGATTTGGTTCGCCGTGCACTGCGATACAGGGGAAGACTCCGTTGGAGCATTGGTCTGGTTCGGTAGATATCGCAGCAGGTGGAGGATGATGTGACTCCACCAACTCCAGATAGCATTGTATCCATTGAGGCTCCTACAGAGGTGACACTGGGAGGAGATGAGATGACAACCGGGCATTTAGAGGATACAGTGGATGTTGGGACTCAGGAACAAGGTCATGTTCAGAAGTCCATTGCAGCTAATAGACCAAGAAGAAACATTCGTCGGCCAACTAGATATAACGATGTCATGGTTGCATATGCTTTATCAGCAGAAGTCGTTGATGATTTGGTTCCTTCTACATTCAAGGAAGCAGAGTCAAGCTCTGATTCGAATAGGTGGAGGGAAGCCATGGAGGAAGAGATGCAGTCTCTTCATAAGAACGACACTTGGGAACTTGAAAAGCTACCGAAGGGTAAGAAGGCTATTGGATGCAAGTGAGTATATGCAAAGAAAGAAGGATCTTCTATTGGGGACATTCGGTACAAAGCCAGATTGGTTGATGCAAGTGGGTATATGCAAAGAAAGAGGGGTCTTCTATTGGGGAAATTAGATTCAAAGCCAGATTGGTTGCCAAGGGATATGCACAGCTAGAGGGCGTTGATTACAACGAGGTATTCTCACCTGTTGTAAAGCATTCGTCGATTCGTATTTTATTGGCATTGGTGGCACAGCTGGATTTGGATTTGGTCCAGATGGATGTGAAAACAGCCTTTCTACATGGAGATTTAGAAGAGGAGATCTACATGACACAACCTATGGGGTTCAAAGCTGCAGGAAAGGAAGAATTGGTATGCAAGCTGAAGAAGTCTCTTTACGGATTGAAGCAATCACCGCGACAATGGTACAAGAGATTCGACGGCTTTATGATTGGCCGAGGGTACACGAGGAGCCCATATGACCCGTGTGTTTACATGCACAAGCTACAGAATGGTGAGTATATCTATTTGCTATTATATGTTGACGATATGCTCATAGCTTCCAGGAATACTTCAGCTATTAGGAAGTTGAAAAAGGAACTGTCATCCGAATTTGAGATGAAGGATCTTGGAGAAGCAAAGAAGATATTGGGTATGGAGATTGAGAGAGACAGGGTGAAGGGGAGGTTAAAGTTGACACAGAGGAGTTACTTGCAGAAGATGCTGAAGAAATTCAGTTATGATGGTAATGCCAAGGCGGTGAGTACTCCATTAGCTCCCCACTTTAAGCTATCAGCTAAGATGTCACATGTTTCAGTTGAGGACCGTGAATACATGTCCAAAGTTCCATATGCCAATGCTGTGGGTAGCTTGATGTATGCGATGGTGTGTACAAGGCCAGATTTGTCACAGGCCGTGAGCATGGTATCCAGATACATGCACGACCCCGGGAAGGGTCATTTGGAGGCCGTGAAGTGGATTCTACGGTATATCAAAGGTACCGTTGATGTTGGTTTGGTATTTCAGAAGAATGAGAAGAATGGGCATGATTGTATTGGTTACATGGATTCTGATTATGCGGGGGATCTGGACAAGCGCCGGTCTACTAGCGGATATGTGTTTACACTAGCAGGAGCACCAGTATGTTGGAGATGCACACTTCAGTCTACAATGGCTCTCTCCACTACGGAGGCAGAGTATATGGCGTTGACTGAAGCTGTAAAGGAGGCTTTGTGGTTACAGGGATTATTGGAGAACTTGGGGATCTCACAGGAGACCCTTCGGGTATATTGTGATAGCATGTCAGCTATCTATTTGGCGAAGAACCAGGTTTATCATGCACGCACGAAGCATATCGATGTCAGATTCCATTTTGTTCGTGACGTTTTGGATGAAGGAGACGCCATGTTGGAGAAGATCCACACGAAGGACAACCCTGCAGATATGTTGACCAAAGTTGTTTCAGGTGTCAAGTTTGGTCATTGTTTGGAACTTTTGAACATTCTTCGGTGTTAAGGCCTTTCGAGGCCATTAGATGAACTACGAGCGACTTGATTCCTTGGGCAAGATGATACGTAGGCAGTCTTTCAGATGTAGCCGTTTTGGGATTAGTTGGATTTTGATGGGGGTGAGACCGATTTGATGAGTAGATACCAACGTTTGGAGAGTGGTCACATTCTTATTTGGGTTCTCGACTTGTTGTGGATTGAGTCCGTTGTTGTGAATCGTTTCACTTCGTACTGGACGCAACAAGTGAGGCATTTGGTTTGGTTGGTGTCGGCTCAGTTTTGGAAGAAACTTCACCGAGGTGGAGAATTGTGAATGTGGGGCCCATGCACGTGAATGAAGCGGGATTGCATGGGATCGCATGAGCTGAAGGAAAAAAAGGAAAGGAAACCGCAGGCCCACCCGAAAATCGCTTCCGCATAGGCTATAAATAGCCTAGGGTTTCGTGAGAAAAAATCGAAGTGGAGGAGGAGATTACATAAAGAAAAGTCGGCTCCTTTTTTGTGGCAGCGGACAAAGTTGCAGAAGAAAAATCGAAGCTGATGTTTTAAGTTTTCTTTATGTATCTTTGAGAGAATATTTGTAAGAGGGATTTGAGAGTTTGTTTGTGAGGGTTTAGATTGTGAGATTGTAAACCTAGTTGTATCTCTCTCTCTCTCTATTAGTAGATCTCCCCCTCCTTGCCCCGTGGACGTAGGCAGTTTGCCGAACCACGTAAAATTTTGTGTTCTTGCCGTGATTTGTAATAGCTTATAGGTTCCCTCGACGCGCAGTCCTAGAGCTGACGAGAGGAAGAGCTGATATCTCACTTTGATGAGATATCTGGCTTTTTGGTTCTTGTTTCCTTTGAGAAACGAGAATTCCATTGTGATCTAATCTCTTGTTGTGCACGTTGCGCACCGGAGGTGCTGCCGAAATTTCCGCTGCCCACAACATAATCCATATGTTACTTACCCAAGGAGTTGGCTTTAAACCACATAGACGGCCTTACCACGGACGCTCCACTCATCTAATTATGCTTTTCATGCTCTGAAACATCAATGATAAAACACAACAATTATCCTGGTTCTAACGAACCATAAAATTGTTCTTTCTATTGTTTCGAAGAGAGCACACACTTCAGAAAATATACAAGCTATGAAGAAAATCAAGAAACAAAACTATAATGCATCTAGTATAAGCAAATCTTATTTAATAGTTTGAAATTAATTAACATCACGAAAAACTAACCGTATCCCAAATCTGCAACTTGATGGGTTTGTTATCAATTGTAATCATTCTAGCCCCAAATTCAACACCAATAGTCAAATCATGCACAGGCTGAAACCTCTTGTCAGTGAATTGCAGAAGTAGGCATGACTTCCCAACTCCTGTATAATAACAAAAAAATTGTCAAAATAATAATGCCGCAAGGTTTTCTATTGATGCGAATCAACTACATTATCACAAATATAAAAACCCCTATGAATAAATTCATCAACTAGTTCAATCAAATTTCAAAACAGACTATGCTATAACAAAAAAACCCATGAAATACTATAAATTATTTCCACTATAAAGGCATATCCAAATCTAAAACCCACCCCAAATCACAACAAAACTGAAAAATTACAAATACTCAAATGCCTAAACCCGCCAAATACGCGTGGGCGTGGGCCGGGCCGGTTTAGACTCGTGACCCGGCCCGTCGGGTTCAAGGCTGGACCGGGTCCAACCCGCCACCCGAATTAGAGTGGCCGCGGCCTATTTCTCTGGGATTAGAACTGGCCCAATCCACGACCCGCCTGGGGCGGGCCGGGTCGGGTTCGATCCGCAGCCCACGGATCGGCCCATAGGTTTTTTAAACTTTTTTTTTAAATTTTTTATTTTTAATTACTAAACTATATTAACTTTGCATTAGTATCTATTAGATTATATTTAAATTATTTTTTTCTATTTTACTATTTATTTATAATGATATATACACACAAATTGTACAAAGATGAACATCACATAGAAAAACATCACAAATACAAAGATATGCATGATTCAGATTTCGAAGGAAGACCTATGTCACAGAATGTTAATAATTTTCCTTTAGCTTAAATTTAAATTACAAATACAAGAGAAAAAAAGAAAAAAAATATTAACTAAAAACTAATAATTAAAATTTGGGGTCGGGTCACGCTTGTCGGGCCAGGTTGGGTTGATGGTGCGCCGGGTTAAGATGAGCCAGACCTATTTCGCTAGTCCTAAGATCTGGAGCTGGACTCAGACACGTGATCCGTGTGTATCA